CTGATGTAAATGGCAAAATGGAGATTAAGATGTCCTTACTCTGGGCTGAAATGCGATTCACTAGGTAGACTCCTCAAATGGGGAAGATGAGGAGGACATTCTTGTTAAATATGCATATTTAATAGCTCTTATTAAGGAACTCTGGGGGGGCAGTGTTTATGTGCTCAGCTGCTAACTGAAAGGTTGGTAGTTTGAGCCACCAGCCACTCCACAGGAGATGGTAATGGGTTTGGGTTTGGTTTTATCTACTCTTTATCATACTACTCTCTGACACAGGTAATTTTTGTCATTGTCACTGTTTTATTTTTAAAGTTATAAACAGTTTCCCAAGGTCACACAAGTAGTCTCTGCCAGATTTGGGTCTCAAACCCAACACTGAATCAAGTATAGTATAATTGGATTATGCTGATTGAGTGGCAAGGATAGAAAAACATACCCTCAACATTTACAGCTGTAGGAATCTGTGTTGACGTACTTACCTATGATCAGAATTTTAATTGGGAAAAAATTATCTAGATGTGACTTACAAACCCTTGATTATTGGCTATTTGGTCTACTCCCCTGCCTTATCTCAGTCCTATTCCCCCACCTCAGAAATCCCTTAAGAAGTTTTTCCAAACCCCATATTCAGCAATGGTGCCAAGGTTCTTCTCTTAGCCCTCAGCTTCAATTCCTTCATTCTTACACAGAAAACAACCTGAGAGGGACTGCCTGGGAATCAGCAGCTTTTGTTCCCACCTCTTTCTTGGGCCGTGTAATGACAACCTGATAGTCAGGCCAGGCATCCACCAGCACCTCCATATTGAATGGGTTTTTATTTTTAATGTTGAAAATGGCACCATATACCTAGAACAGCAAGGAAAAAAAAAAAACAGAAAAGTATGACATTTCTCTTTGAGATAGGGTCTTAGATGTGGAGATGGCCACTGGAGAACTTTGAGCTGACAGTGAAAAATTGCTTTAGACTTACAGTGAAAGATTTGAGGAATTACCCCTGTCCAAATAGGTTCATAATTATTTTTAGTTTATTTCCAGGATCTGCTTGGCACCTGCCCACAGCTTAACGTAAGAAGGCCGACCTGGATAGATAGATCCAGCCTGACCAGGACTCATGGGAGCAGAGAAAGCAAACCCTTTAGCTGACCCTGAAACATTAAAACAAGGGACCAAAAGTTACTGGAATTACTTCCTCTGTACTGCGCAAACCCATTTGAGACGCAAGAGGTCCATTCGCCATTTCTGTGCCAAGCTATAATCCTAGCCTCTAATCCATCATCCTAACCCTTCCCCAGTAACCTTATGGATAATCATAACTTCTCCACTTGCCACAGGCTTAAAAGTTAAAGGAATATGAATCTCTGTTGAACTTCCTTGATGACAGCAGTCCTGCTGCTCCTCCCTATTGGCCATCCGAATAAGGCTTCTGTCCTGGCCTCAGCCTGAGTCTGTGATTCCATAAGCAGTGCTGAATAGAACCTGGGCCTAGGTTCATGGTTTCAATGTGGCATGGGAAATGAGGTCAAGTTGGGAAGGAAAGAAAAAAAAATCTGTGTACCTTTAGCTATCATTTTCTAGTTCTTCCTCCCCTATCCTAGGTACAGGCGATCAGTAATGTGCTTTCTGTCTTTGTAGATTGGCCTATTCTGAGCATTTCACACAAATTGAATTATATTTAAAACAAAACAAATCAAAAGAGTTGGGAGTATTTGACAAGGATGGAGCCCATAGTTCTAGAATGGCTTATTGGATGACCAACGGAAGCTATGCTGCAAACAAGCCCAGGAAGGGTCCACAAAAACCAGAGTTAATAGCTGGATCATTAGGAACTGACTCCCCTGACATGAACTTATTTATTTCCTCAATAACATTTATTGGGCATCTATTTATATCAGGCTTGTGATAATTATGGAGAAAGTTGGATATGATATGGTCACTGCCTTCAAGGCAATTCTAGAATGATAGAGAGACACATGATCCAATCACAACAGGACACATGCTCAGGTAGATATATGCATACAGTAGTGTGGGACCTCTGGGAAGAAATGCACTACCTGCCTTGGAAGTGATAGTGAGTCTTACAGTGCAAGTTATATTTGAACTACATTTGATGGATAAATAGAGGCTTTTCCCGGGAAAAATAAAGAGAAAAAAACCAAAAACAAGACCCATTGCTGTCAAGTCAATTCCTACTCATGGTGACCCTATGTTTACAGAGTAAGACTGTTCCATAGGGTTTTCTTGCCTGAGACTCTAGGTGTCGTGAATGGTTAAGCACTCAACTAATAGCCAAAATATCGGCAGTTCAAACCCATCCAGAGATGCTTCTGAGAGGTCACGGCCCTGACAGTCCTATGAAGCAGTTCTATGCTCCACACATGGAGTCCCCATGAGTCAAAATCTACTGAACAGCAACGGACAACAACAAATGACCTTTATGGAAACAGATTGCCAGGCCTTTCTTCTGTTGTGCCCCTGAGTAGGTTTGAACCACTAACTTCTGGGTTAGTAGTCAAGTGCAAACCATTTGCATCATCCAGGGAGGTTAGAGAAAGAGGGCAAGTTATTCCAGGTAAGGGGGAAAAAAGCACAGAAAAAAAAAAAAAAAAAGGCTTGAAATTGTGGCAGATTATGTCCCTGCTGAACTATAAGGGGTTCAAAATTTGTAGCATGTGGTATACAGCAGGGGAATACTGGGGGATGGAGTAGATGAAGTTGGGTGCATTATTGTGATCTAAAAAAAAAACCAAACTTCCATCAAGTCAACTCCTACTCATAGTGACCCTTTAAGACAGAGTAGAACTGCCCCATAAGGTTCCCAAGGTTGTGAATCTTTACAAAAGCAGATATCTCATCTTTCTCCCATGGAGTGGGTGGTTGATTTGAACCACTCACTTTTGGTTAGTAGCTGAATGCTTTAATCATGGCCACACTAGAGCTCCTATTTTTATGATAGAGCCCTATATACCCAATTTAGGAATATGGACTTTATTTATGCCTTAGGCATAAATATGTTGTGGACATGGACTGGGACTGGAACATTTAAAGCACAGAAATGATTGATCATATGTGTGTCAGATAGATGGCTCTGGTCACCAGACAACAATCAGTCTGGTAAGATTTGAGACAAGGATATATTGCAATAGCTTGTAAGGAATCCCACTAGAGATAGCAGTGGGAAGGATTAAAAATATGATAAAGAGGCCAAAAATGAAGCAAAGTGGGTTATTGATTGGATATGAATATGAAGATCATCTTTAGCAAAAAGATCTGACTTTAAACCTATGTTTCCATCTGTCTCAGACAATTCTAAGGAGCTCTGGTGGCATAGGAGGTAAGGCATTTGGCTGGTAACCAGGTCAGCCATTCACATCCAGCAGCTGCTCCACAGGGAGAAGACAAGGCAATCTACTTCTGGGAAGATTTACAGCCTTGGAAACTCAATGGAGTCAGAATCGACTAGATGGCAGTGGGTTTGTTTTTTTGGTTTAGGAAGATTCTGCGCCCTCCTCAGACTTATCTACTTCACTCTTCCCCTACTTTCTCACCTTTTGGGTCTCAGGGATGCTCTCTTCCAGAGATTCAAATAGAATATGCAGATCCTGGGATCCTTGGAGCACAAGCATCTTGTGTAGCACTTTAGCTCCCTTACCCCTGGAAGATGATCTAAGGAAACAAACACACACACCAAAATACTTCAAAGTATCAGGCAAGGATCCAGGAAGAGGAGGAAGGAGAAGTCACCTAGGACACCATACATTTGTTAGAGGTGAAGGGCATTAGACATTTCCTAGCCTGGACCTCTCATTTTACAGATAAGAAACTAAAGCCTAAAACAGTCATACCCTGAAAGGGGCAGGGACAGAGATGCATCTAGACCTCAAGGCTCCTTAGTGATCTCTACAGTTTGACAAGAAGTACCATGACACATGTGGTGAATCAAAACTTCCTATGCCCATTTGATTCAAATCATGACAAGAATCCAAGAAACTGTCTTCAGTGGTCCTGATGCCAATGAAAAACAAAGCGTCTCTCCAGAGATTGCTAGAAGCCCTACACATTGGGGACAGTAAAGGCCCACAGACATTGGGACACTTCCTTTAAAATATCATCAGTGATATTTTCAGCCATCATGACAGAATGAGATCATCTGGAAAAGATTCTAAAGACCATATTGTGTACAGGCCCTTTTCCCTACGGTACAAAACCATAGAAAGGAAAAATTGTTAGCTCTCATAAGTGGTGATACCACCCAAGTATAAATGAGCAAAACCTAGGAACTGAATGCAATTTTATTTTAGCAACTTGTAAAATAGAGTAAATCTTTTTCTTTTCAATAATTGCACTTCTAGAAGCTCATCCCAAGGAAATATTAATAGATATCCATGAAGATATAAGGAGCCCTGGAGGCACAGTGGCTAAGTGCTCAGCTGCCAACCCAAAGGTCAGTGGTTCAAACCCACCAGCTGCTTCATGGGAACAAGATGTGGCAGTATGCTTCTGTAAACATTTCAGCCTGGAAACCCTACGGGCAGTTCTACTCTGTCCTATGAGTCCGTATGAGTTGAAATTGACTCAATGGCAATGAGTTTGGTTTTTCAGTTTTATAAAGATATGAACATAAAGGGATTCAATGTATCATTATGATACCACACATTTAGAAACCATTCAAAATCCATTATAGATAAATAGTTAAATTAATGATGGTATATTCAAATAATGAATTATCAGGAAGTCATTACAATTACTGCTTTAGATCATATTTAATGACATAGAAAAATGTCCATGCTGTGGATTGAATGAGGTCCCAAAAATAAGTGGTGTAAATCCTTACCCCTTTATATGTGGATAAAGGAGCCCTGGTATCACAATAGGAGCTCTGGTGGTATAGTGCCTAAGGCACTTGACTGCTAACCAGAAGGCTGGCAGTTCAAACCCACCAGCCACTCCTCAGAAGGAAGGTTGGGCAATCTGCTTCTGTAGAGATACTGCCTCAGAAACCCAAGGAGTGGTTGCTAGGAGTAGGATCCGACTACAAGGCAGTGAGTTTGTTTGTTTGTTTGTTTGTTTTATGGGGGTATCACAATGATTAAGTGCTTGGCTGGTAACCAAAAGGTTGGGAGTTTGAACACGGGCAGCAGTTCTTCAGGAGAAAAGCCCTGATAAGCTACCCCTGTAAAGCCTAGGAAACCCATGGAGCACTTCTACTCCATCAGGCTGGTCACTATGAACTGAAAATCAACTCAAAGGCACCTAACACAACAATACATGTGGATGTGATCCCATTGAGAACATAGTTTTCTTTGTAATGGCAATGAGGCCATATTCATGTAGGGTGAGTGTGAAGCCAATCTCTCTTGAGATACCAAAGGAGCAGATTAAGCCCAGAAGGAAGCACAAATGGAGGGATGACAGGTACAGCATGATCTTCAAGAAGTCCAGGAACAGAAGCTAAAAAGAGACTAGGCCCTTCCTTCAGAACTGACAGGGAGAAATGCTTCCACTAGAGGCAGGCACCTGAATTTGGACTTCCAGTCTTCCAAACTTGTTGTGGTGGTGGTTGTTAGGTGCCATCCAGTCATCTCCGACTCATAGCGACCCCATGCACAGCAGAATGAAACACTGTCCGGTCCCGCGCCAGCTCCACGATCCCTGCTATACTTGAGCCCATAGCACAGCCACTGTGTCAATCCATTTCGTTGAGGGCCTTCTTTTCCTTCGACCCTCCACCTTACCAAGCATGACATCCTACTCCAGGGAATGGTCCCTTCTGACAACATGACCAAAGCAGATGAGACAGAGTCTGGCCATTCTCGCTTCCAAGGAGCATTCCAGCTGCACTTCCTCCAGGACTGATTTGTTAGTTCTTTTAGCAGTCCATGGTACTCTCAACATTCTTCTCCAGCACCACAACTCAAAAGCATCAACTCCTCTTCAGTCTTCCTTATTCATTGTTCAGCTCTCCCGTGCATATGAGGCGATTGAAAATATCATGGTTTGTATCAGACGCACCTTAGTCCTTAAGGAGACATCTTTGCTCCTCAGCACTTGAAAGAGGTAATTTACAGCTGAGTGTCCAGTGCCATACGTGGTCTGATGTCCTGGCTGCTGCTTCCATTGGCGTCAATTGCAGAACCAAGCAATGTGAAGTCTTTGACAACATCAATCTTTTCTCCATTTATTGTGATACCACCTATGGGTCCAGTTGTGAGGATTTTTGTTTTCTTTATATTGAGATGTAATCCATACTGCGGACTGTATTCTTCAATCTTCATCAATAAGTGCTTCAAATCATCCTCACTTTCAGCAAGCAAAGTTGTGTTATCAGTGTATCGCAGGTTGTTAATGATTCTTCCTCTAATCTTGATGCCATGTACTCCTTCATATAGTCCAGCTTCTTGGATTATTTGCTCAGCATACAGATTGAATAGGTATCGTGAAAGGATATAACCCTGATGCACTCCCATCTTCATTTTAAACCATGCAGTGTTCCCATGTTCTGTTTGAACAACAGCCTCCTGCTCTATGTACAGGTTCCCCATGAGTACAATCAAATGTTCTGGAATTCCTATTCTTCTCAATGTTATTCACAATTTGTTATGATTCACACAATCAAATGCTTTTGTATAGTCAATAAAACACAAGTAAAGATCTTTCTGGTATTCTTTGCTTTGAGCCAAGATCCATCTGACATCAACAATGATATCCCTAGTTCCACATCCTTTCTGAATACAGCTTGTACCTCTGGAAGTTCTCTGTCAATATACTGCTGCAATTGTTTTTTAATTTTCTTCAGTAAGATTTTACTTGTATGCTATATTAATGATATTGTTCAAAATTTCCATATTCTGCGGGATCACCCTTCTTTGGAATGGGTACAAATATGTATCTCTTTTAGTCAGTTGGCCAGGTAGATGTCTTCCAAATCTCTTGGCATAACTGGAGTAATGCTCCAGTGGGGCATCTGTTGTTTGAAACAACTCAATGGATATTCCATCAATTCCTGGAGCCTTGTTCTTTGCCAATTCCTCCAGTGCAGCTTCAACTTCTTCCTTCAATACCATTGGTTCTAGATCATATGCCACCTCCTGAAATGGATGAAGACCAGTTCTTTTTGGTACAGTGACTCTATGTATTCCTTCCATCTTCTTTTGATGCTTCCTGCATATTCAATACTTTTCCCATAGACTCTTTCAATATTGGAACTCGCAGCCTAAATTTTTTCTTCAGTTCTTTTAGCTTGAGAAATGCTGAGCATGTTCTTCCCTTTTGGTTATCTAACTATAGATCTTTGCATATTTTATTATGGTAATTGCCTTGGTCTGCTTGAGCTGCTCTTTGAAATCTTCTGTTCAGCTCTTTTATCTTAGTATTTCTTCCATTTGCTTTAGCTACTCTCCGTTCAAGGGCAAGTTTCAGATTCTCTTTTGACTTCCATTTTGGACTTTTCTTCTTTTCTCATCTTTTTAATAACCTCTTGCTTTCTTCATGGATGATGTTATTGATGTCATCCCACAATTCTTCTGGTTTTCCATCATTGATATTCAAATCTATTCTTTAGATAGTCTCTAAATTCAGGAGGGATACATTCCAGGTCATATTTTGGCTCTCATGGACTTGCTTTAATTTCCTTCAACTTCAAGTTAAACTTGTATATGAGCAGTTGATGATCTGTTCCACAATCAGCTCCTGGCATGGTTTTGGCTGAAAATATTGAATTTTCCATCGCCTTTTGCCACAAATGTAGGCAATCTGATTCCTGTGTATTCCATATGGCAAAGTGCACGTGGCTACCATTTGTGTTGTTGAAAAAATGTATTTGCAATGAATAAGTCATTGGTCTTGCAAAATTCTATCATACTATCTCCAGCATTATTTCTGTCACCAAGGCCAAATTTTTGATACTGGTTATTCTTCTTTGTTTCTAACTTTTGTGTTCCAATTGCCAGTGATAATTAACACAGCTTGATTGCACGTTTCATCAATTTCAGACTGCAGAAGTTGATAAAAATCTTCAATTTCCTCATCTTTGGCTTTGGTGGTTGGTGCATAAATTGAAGTAATAGTCCTATTAACTGGTCTTCCTTGTAGGCGTATGGATATTATCCTATCACTGACAATGTACTTCAGCACAAATCTTGAAACATCCTTTGTGATGATGAACGCCACTCTATTCCTCTTCAAATTGCCATTCCCGGCATAGTAGATCATATAGCTGTTTGACTGAAAATGGCCAAAACCATTTCAGCTCATTAACAATTTCAATCTTTATGCGTTCCATTTCATTTTTGACAACTTGCAATTTTCCTAGATTCATACTTCGTACATTCCATGTTCCGATTACTAATGGATGTTTGCAGATGTTTCTCCTCAATTTGAGTTGTGCCATGTCAGCAAATGGAGGTCTCAAAAACTTTACTTTATCTATATCAGTAAGGTTGGTTCTACTCTGATGATGCAGCTCTTTCTCAGTCATATTTTGAGAGTCTTCTGACCTAAGGGGCTCATCCTCCTACACTGTATCAGACAGCGTTTCTGGGCTATTCATAAAGTTGCACAGTAATGTATCAGACAGTGTTTCTCTGCTATTCATAAGGTTTCTTTGAGAAGTGGATGGCCTCTTCCT